TCTGTCTCAAATAAATAAATAAAATCTTTAAAATAATAAATAAATAAATTTGATTGTGGTTTTAAATGAGCAAATTGGGGGCACCTGGGTGGCTTAGTCATTAAGCGTCTGTCTTCGGCTCGGGTCATGATCCCAGGGTTCTGGGATCAAGCACTGCGTCAGGCTCCCTGCTTCTAACGGAGGAGCCTGCTTCTAAGCAGGGAGCCTGCTTCTCTCTCTTCAGCTCTCCCTGCTTGTGTTCCCTCTCTCGCTGTCTCTCTCTGTCAAATAAATAAATACAATCTTGAAAAAAAAAAGAGCAAATTTATAGAAATCAGAGAATTCCCTTTGTATTTTTAAATATATTAACAAAATGTTTTTCATTTATTTCCTGGGTAGGAAACATGTATATAAACTTAGGATACAAGAGATGATATATATCTGAGTTTGTATTCCATACCACAAAAAGTAAAGATTATGCAAATTTTCAATAAATTAATATATTTTCTTAATTGAGTGAATGAAAGTAATATTGGTCTGTTTAAATTCAGTGTTCCATTGTAGAAGATACTTTAGCATACTTGGTTGTTTCCTTAGGCCATAGATTATGGCACTTTTCCTATTTCCTTGTTTGTTGGTTTTTATATATAAAGATATATATATATATAGTAACAGTCATAAGTGTTAGGACTAAGGATTTTTATATGGTCTGTTAAAAATAACATCTGTTTTTAAGGCTGATGTTGGTACCTTCTGAAGCTTTTCAGTTTCTTCTCACTGGATATGACGGGTGATAGATTAATGAAATCAGTTGGATATAAAATTAATAATTTGACCATTCGTGTAAATGCAGAGATTTACTTCCCGATTCTGTTACCGGTCTTTTATTTGTGCTTATGTGAAAATTAATGTCTCCCATCTCTTTCACTGAAGAACATACCTTTAATACTTACTCTAATATATCACTGTCTTCGCATACAGAGTTTCTTTCCTCTTAAGAAAGCTATTATCAGGGCACCTGGGTGGCTCAGTTGGTTGAGCGACTGCCTTCGGCTCAGGTCATGATCCTGGAGTCCCGGGATCGAGTCCCGCATCGGGCTCTCTGCTCGGCAGGGAGTCTGCTTCTCCCTCTGACCCTCCCCCCTCTCATATGCTCTCTCTCTCATTCTCTCTGTCTCAAATAAATAAAATCTTTAAAAAAAAAAAAAAAGACTGAAATTCTAGGTAATTAGATTTGTTTATATGTGAAACCAGAATGGACTCTGAGTGAAACTAGACCTGAGAGGGTCTTTTACATGTATACTAAATCTTTATTGCCACTACCTGAATTTGGGTTACTATAATGTAGTACAGATATTTTAATATGGTATTTTTTTATTTAGGTTTTTTTCCAGCTGTCTTGAGATACAGTTGACATGTAATTCTAACTTTTTATCTTATTCATTCTTCATTCTTTCCCAGTGCCTTTTAAATTTATTTAGTTAGGACTGGACATTGTTTTTTCACTTTCTAAAAAACTTGAGTACCAGGAATTGGGGAGATGTTGTTAAAGGATGCAAACTTAGATGAATTAATTTCTGGAGATCTAATGGACAGCATAGTGATTATAGTCAACAAGACTATATTATATACTTAAAAATTGCTAAGAGACTAGATCTTAAATGTTCTCACCACAGGAAGAAATGACAGTTATGTGACATGATAGAGATGTTAGCTAAAGCAATGGTTATAAACATATTGCAATATATAAATATGTCAGATCAACACATTGTGCACCTTAAATTTATACAGTTATATGTAAATTATATCTCAATTTTTTAAAAAGCAAAGAAAAAGAATGTGAGTACCTGAGTGACTTGGTAACATCACACAACCATTGATACTATTATTCGTATTCTAGTAACTCTTAAAGAGTTTAGACAAAAAAAATTATTAAAATAGAATTTTAGGACACATCATAGTAGAGGGAATATTTAAGCTATTTAATATTAACAGTTAAGTAATCAGTTCAGATGTATCTGCTTATTTGCATTGCCTGAAAGCCAGAGTCAGAACAGTTTTGCAAAAATAAACAATTTTTTAATACCATTGCTTAGAACAATTGTCTTTAAAGACTTTTTCGTAGCAGTAGAAACTTTTCTTCAAAGAAAATCTTATTCAGAAATATAGTGTGTAAAAACTAGCATTGCTTTGGCAAAATTGACTTTGTTATCAAGAAAACTCACCAATTGACTTCTCAGGTTGGACTTTCAGTATTAAAAAATGCCTTTTGCTATTCAGGTGTCTTGGTTAAAGATGTCAGGGATAGGGAAAAAAAACATATCAAGGATGATGACTTAACAGATAAAATTTGGTCATTTTAAAGTCATCTGATGGCAAAGTTAGTAAAAGAAAAGTACCATCCCCTACCCCATTTTTAAAAAGCTGAAATAATGTTCGTTTTACCTACTCAGAAATAATTGCAGCGGGAAGATCACTTCACTTTTTTTCTCTTAGGAGACATTTGCCTTACCAAACATGAGTGAGATACATTCTAAAAGAAAGAGACCTAATAGTGACACCCCTGCAGACGGGTGACTGATCCAAGGGCAAATTGCACATACTTTGAAAGAAAGAACCATAATAGACTATACTTCAAAAGTACTTAGTTAGTACCTACTCAGAAGTAATGCCTTTGAATTCTTCATAGGGAAAAAAGAGCTTTCCTTATATTTCTTAATTTAGAATCTTCATATCCCCTACATATACACCTTTATGTATGTGTTCCCTGAGTTAGTACATTTTCTAGGTTCTAAAACTGACAGGAACCTATCTATAAAGGTAATTCTTTCTCAGGCTCAGTTTTTTTTCCTTTATCCCCAGGGGAATTCAGGGCTTGGTTTCAGCATTGCAGGAGGTACGGACAACCCACACATTGGAGATGACTCAAGTATTTTCATTACCAAAATTATTGCAGGGGGAGCAGCTGCCCAAGATGGAAGATTACGGTATGTTTTGCATTTTATGTTGTGATGCTGAATACACTTTGTATATTTTTCTTTAGGCAGATTGAACAAGGCATCTATACAAATAAACACTATCATAATAACCAACATAAGGTAGATGCTCAAATAAACAAATGAATGAGATAATTGTGCACTAAGCATTGTTTCCCTCTTTTCATTTAGGAATTTAGTTTTATCTCATATTATAACATTTTGAATAATAAATTTGATTGTGGGGCGCCTGGGTGGCTCAGTTGGTTGAGCGACTGCCTTCGGCTCAGGTCATGATCCTGGAGTCCTTGGATCGAGTCCTGCATCGGGCTCCCTGCTCGGCAGGGAGCCCACTTCTCCCTCTGACCCTCCCCCCTCTCATGTGCTCTCTCTCTCTCTCTCATTCTCTCTGTCTCAAATA